AAAACAGATGATTCAATCCAGTTTACCCAAATTGAAAGAGGTTTCTTCCTGGAAATTGCAATCAATTCTCTGACATATCTGAAAGTGAAAAGTAAAATTAAAATAGCCATGTATAGATATGAAAGAACTTTGAATGCCATTTGCATATCCTTCTCTGTTTGATTATTTGTGTTTGAAGCTTTGCCCAATACGTCATTTGCTTGAACGTATGTAATAGTAGCAAACTTTTGTGTGATTTAGTTTAATTTATCCTTTCCAACAACCTACCTTTAGAACTGAATAAATATACATCTTTAATCTTCTATTTCCGATCGTCCAACTAGAAAATTTCTTCCATCTCCTTGCTACTGTATCAGTCCACGACCCATTATTATTTGATCCACCTCCATTATTATTATTAGGTTTAGTATTAAAATCTTTAATTGCCGAAGCATCAAAATATGGAGTAGAATCTGATAAACTATCTTCATTGTTGGTTTTTGATGTTGTTGGTGTCAACTTTCTGCCATACGCCTCTGAAACAATGAGTGGCTTTGATCCAGAACGATGTATCGACATTTTTTAATTTAGGTTGTTACTTTGTGAATTAGAGAGAAACATGCTACCAATGAGAATCACGTTGTGATTGTTTGTGATTTGGAAATAAATGTAATCCGAAAGTTCTCTAGTAACTGTGATACAGCCTATTTTATGTGTTTTTAGGAGAGTTTTTGAATGATTCATTTGGGAATCTTGTTAAAAAGATCATCAGCCTTTTAGTTCAGAATCAAATCGAATTTCGAAATTGTTGTGGTGTGGCAAAATAATTTCTTCTTCAATCGAAATGATTACCTTCTTATTGAGGAATTTGTTAATAAAAAGAATTAAAATGACTACACCAACAACTCAACAACAGCAAAGCAAAACACCAACAACAGAAGGCAATCATCACAATGAATTCTTCTTCAATGCATCAAACGTGCCGAAACCTCTAAAACTCAGTCTTCGATCCAAAATCAAAAACTATATGAAACATAATGGTTACTTTTTGGATATGGAAATTCTTCAGGTTATAATTTCCTTTCTCTTTTTTGTTATTTTCATTGCGGACGTTTACACAAATTTTGTTTTCTATTCGCAAATTTATCCTCAATCAAGGCCAACTCCTGAAAATTCCTTCTCACTCTCTGATCAACATATTCAATTCATGTTGCAGAGTATATTCATTTGTGATTTGATACTGTGTACCATAACTGTTTCATTGTGGTTCGTTTCCTTTCTC